GGCGAAGCTCGACAGTTTCTCGCAGCGTTACTTTTTTTTTTTGTGATAGTTGGAAGAGTACACTTTCTCCAGAGAAGCTTTAAGTAAACACCTGTATTCCATTAGATAAAATGCACGAGTTTATTTATTTAAACTTACGGTCTAGCTGACAGCTTCAAGTCAGGAATGCACGTATTATCTTCTCCACAGTCTACCAGGATGTGAGCCTGCGTTGTGCAAACATGCATCAGGAAGAATCTTGGAAAATCTGAATCACATCCTATTCTTCAAAATTATGAATGATCCCACACGTTCAACCAAAGCTTTCATTTCACTATCTATGATCCCCCTCAGCTAGAAACTCTGTGTTTAGTGGTGGTGTCCCCGCATAGGTTAGTTGGCTTAATCGCCCAATTCCAATTCATTCTGAAACGTCTGTAAAGAATGCTACTCTGGCAATGTTTTGAGGATTGCAGGCTGTATTGCTTCCATTATAGCCACATTTTGAACAAATTAAATCTTGGTTGCACAAGGAGAAGGACTTCCAAAAACACAATGATGCAGTGTTTCAGGAAACATGTTCGGAAAATTCCCTACATGTTACGAGTGTGTGTGTGCAGAAATGAAAACAAAAAAGGGCTGGATTTCATCTTAAGGTCACAGGAGCAATGCCTAGGGCCTGACTGAGAATATACCATCCAAGACAGTCAAGGACCTACCTGCTCGGTGACAACATTTTCCCTGTAGTGGTTCAATATGGGTTTCACTTCCAGACCTTCTTTAAAGGTGGATTCATCCAAACTGTAATTCAAACTAATGTTGATTGGAGATAGCTTATCTCGGAATTCAGTTTCATCCTAAGGAAAGCAATCACAAAGTAAGAAAGGCTCCATAAAATGGTGGCAAGACGTTAGTTGGTGAAAGGCAGGCAGCATTCAACTTTGGCCAATGAAGGTGAATGATGAAGTAATTGTCACCCCAGCGGGCTTGGGCACCTGCTGATGGATGTGGTGCCGAGTAGCCAGCTCAGCGAATGTATGCTCAGAGATGAACTCACATAGAGCTGTGGCTACGCTGAAATACATGGTTCCAGAGGTCATCTCCAGGTGCTCTACATCTTCAACAACTCACACGGATTGGTCACATCACAAAGTAAAAAAATTACATACGCAATGAAAGTCATTGAAGGCTTCGTGAACTGGGATTTTTATTTTGATCAGGTCGGCAGAATTTATGAGTCCCCTTTGACTCAGATGAAGAAGACCTTTTGATTCTCTTCCTTTCTTTTATTTTTGTTGTTGTTGTTGTGTGGTAGGGAGGTAATTAGGTTTATTTATTTTATTTATTTATTTCTTAGCAGAGGTACTGGGGATTGAAGCCAAGACCTGCATGCTGAGCAAGCTCTCTGCCACTGAGCTGTACCATCCCCCTTCTTATCATCTCTTTGGGGTCTTTTTTTTGCATGAACTTCACACACCTTCAGCACATTTGAAGTTCCTGAAGAAAAAAGAACCAGAACTCCCCCGAGAATGAGGGGGTACCACCAGCATCTAGCTAGGTCCAGGCACACAGGAACTCTCAAACCACGGGGCGAGCATATCACCCTTCAGCTATGTGCTGGCTGCAGTCATAATGAGACACAAGGGGCATGCACCAGCTTTCATTCTTGAACGCATTTATAGACTCTGCTTTCTGCGGGCATTCCCTTACTGCCTCCCCTCACAGAGGAGACCAAATGAAACAGAGCCTTCACAACCTCACAAGTGGTAAGAAGATGAAATAACAGTGCCAAACATAGTTTTATTTCACAATAGGTTGGGGAGTTATGGTAAAAAAAAAAAAACACATTGCTTTAAAAATATGAGTTACTTTAAAGCCTTCAAATGCCTCACCATTTCCCTGAGTTGGCTCAGAAATGGACATTGATAAAAATCTGGCCAAACATCCTCACGCAGGATAAAAGTTCAAATAAATTGTATTTAACATTTATGTTTTTTGCGGGGTCGGTTGGGTGGGGGGAGGCAGTTAGAAACGAAAACCACCTGAGTTAGTACTACAACCAAAAGTGTGTTCAAAACAAGAAGAAGCCTTAGGAATTAGCAGCAATACATCATGAGGTTGGCTCAACAGAGTAGTGTGTGGCCTTGAAGTTTCCTCCTATAAAGTGAAAATAGACGTGGGTTGATGTGAACGACAGTGATGGTTAATTGGAGAAAAATGGCTGGAATTTGGATTTGAATGTTAGAGGCCAGAAAGGTGATGCTGGGACACTTACTCGAAGGTAAACAATAAAATCCTGACACTGGAGAGATTTCTGGCCCTTTATCACGAGAGGGAACACGAGATGTGACTGATGGTTATCAAGGAAGAGCGTGCGTTTAATGGCGCCTTTTTGTTTCAGGGAATCCAACTGCACCTCAACAGTCAGGCCTAAAGTACAGAAATAAAACAAATATAATCCAGAAGGGAAAAGTATTCAGTGAATGCAGTGCTTTATCAGAGATATGAATTCCTCTTTCAACTTGCTTATTCAGGGAACATTTTTTCCATAGTTGGGATCAAAAACAATACATGAGCTGCAAAAATTTTATAAAACACTCCCCAAGCTAAACAACTTATTTTGTTTTGTAATGACTACAAGTATTCATTTTCCCCCAAATTATGTCTGCTTTTACAGATAACATTAATAACAATTATTCAAGCAATAATTACATAGAAGTTTCCATATGCATAATAGAAATTTTGGCACTAATAAAGAGCTCTTTAGAAGTTTTAGATGGTTCATGCAGTGAAATGCTTACTGTTAACTTTTCTTAATATGGTATAGGAGTGTAAAAATGAAAATCTGCTCACCTATTGAGTCTGAAATACTCTGGCCTGCCACAGACGCACACGCTCTTAAAGAAAAGCTATGGGAAATAATAGGCAATAATTTATTGGTTAATAAAGTTTTGAATCTGAAGTAGAAATTTCCCTTTACCTCACTGCAGTTAAAACAAATGCATTATTTTTCCTCTTACCACTCTAATTACATATACACAAAACTAAATAAATAAATATGCATGTATTTATTGACTGATACATACATTTATCAAAAAAATATTTTTATATACATATCCCACCATTCGGCCACAGCACTAATACAATCAAGAAAGGTGACATTATTACGTAGGAAGAAAATACTTTAACATCCTAGAGGTTCATTGATTTAATTACTTAATCCATCCCTTTCTGCCTTTATGCAGGAAAGGCATATGAGTATCTTCCATGTGCCAGGGAGTGAGGAATTGGGCAGAACAGCAGGAGAACAGTTAGTGGCAGAGCCTGCAGGTAAGCAAGAACGTGACTCCACTGGAGAAACCTGAAGGAACCTGGGGTGGTTGGTGCTTTAGTGCAGGTCAGGGAAACTGCAGGAAGCAGGGCTGGCAGGGTCAATCAGTAGGTAACAGGGCTTTGAAAATCACATTAAAGAATCTGGATTAAGAGGAACACACTAAGATATAAAATAAGCTGCAAGGATATATCATACAACACAAGGAATATAGCAAATATTTTACAATAACTATAAATGGAGTATAATCTTTAAAAATTCTGAATCACTCTGCTGTACAGCTGTAATTTATATTATACATCAACTACACTTCATTCAAAAAAACATTAGATTTAATTCTGAGAGGCATGGAGCATCGCAATGGACTAACCCACAATCCACTCTGCTTGGAAGGAGACAGGAATCGATGGTTACTTGCTATAGGTGGGGCATGACATGAGGCAGAAACACTAGAAGATGGAAGGGAAAAAGAAAGAAAGTGGGGCATGCAGAGTGGCTGTCTCAGGCTAGGTAGGCACAATGATGCAGTATATAAAAGCAAAAAAAAAAGCATAAATATGCAAAGAGATCTTTATAGGTTTGCTTTGAACACGCCCTAAACTCAATCCAGGCAGGTGCCTGCTGAGGCTTTTAGGATGACCTGCATTTGGGCCTGCCCTGTGCCCACAGAAGGATGAGGAATGGCCAATAGTCTTAGCCTGGCATTTGGATGTGCTCGCCTCCCTACGGAACACTGTCAAGCCCTAACAGCCAGCATTCAAAATGGGGCTTTTTCACATTTCTAAGAAAGTAAAAATATAAGAAAACACTTAAGTGGGATTTAATGGCAGTCTTAACGTTTCTACCAGTAAATACTATAGTATGATTTGAATATTTCTGCAGGATCCAAAAGGAGTAAACAACCCTTAGTTGTGCTTGAATTATGCATCAGTTTCCTGTGTCAAACATGAAGATGTGTCACATCTGGGATTCATCTAGCTCCCGTGACCTCAGTCAACATCTCCCTGCAGGGTAAATAATTTGCCACATACCATTAAGCCAAAAGTTTCCTGAGATGCTTTTGCTATTACAATTGTTTGTACCACTTCCCCAGAGAAATCACAAATTCCAGCCCACTTCTACTACAATCAATTGGAATTATTCAAGAAAGACAAATAGTTAATCACATCTTTAAATTCTGTAGCAAGTCTGGCTTTCAAAATTGGAAATTTTTCAGTGTTCAACTTTTTTGGAGGTACGTGGTTATGTGTTAAAATTGTCCATTGACCTTTTTTTCATTCATTACACTGAATGAACAAAACTCACTAGCTTTTGTAAGATAAATTTCCATTTGTAAGAAAATTATCAATATATATATAGATTAAGATAATTTACATACAGTATTTTAACACAAATAATTTAAAAGTGATAAAATTTTTGCAGAAGAAATTAAATTATAAATATGAACATGATTTCATCTTTGCAAGAGGGTATTTGGTGGAAAAATGATGTTATCAACTAAAAGGTTACCCTTGATTTATGAATTATATGTCAGTGTTATTCTGTCCTTCTTTTTTAGTTCCTCTCTGTTAGCTCAGAATCATTAAATGGATGACTTTAAGCTTTTCATCTAAGTTCAATTACTGCTACAACTTACTAAATTATTGGTAACAGCATTGTAACCTAAATTTTTGGGTTTATAGATGACTTTAATAGAAGAGTTGCCAAGTTTTAACTTTTAAAGCAGTCCATTCTGATCTAAAAAGAAAACCTCACTGAAATACTCATTCTGAATTTAGAAAAAAAATTTTTATTATATATATTATATTATATTGTATATAAACACAAACATATACATTATATGTTTTATGTAACAGATAATTAGGTGCACTCATGGGTCTACAATTATAATGTCCACTTGAGTCGTCAGGAAAAGCTGTGAACTATTATTAAATTAGAATTAAAATTTCAAGCTAGCATTTATGATCATAGTCAATATGAATAGGTCTAATTGAAACAAATGAAAAAATATAAAACATTAAATCAGCCCAGATCCCTCATCATGTGATTTCTAAATGAAACTGTTGGTCTATACTTCTGCTATGTCAGAAGGTAGGACAATACATTACAAATCCTCTAACATTAGTTCTAACCCAATGCAATAATAATTCTGTGATGTAATGGTGCTTATATCTATGTATGGAGGAGGAAGAATGAGATAGATGTGAAATAGGACTTGACAAAGCAATTCATTTTTCAACCTACCAATTCAATACTCTTCCAATGATAGCAAATATCAGATTTTACTTACGGTTAGGCATATCTGAAAAGTTCTTTTTTCACATTTGAAAAATGGATAGTTACCAACCATGACACTTATAAAAATTTTTGTTACTAAAAAGTTTTTCTTTTTCTCGTTAGATAACAATTATATTAATATTTATGGGCTGGCTTTATTTTTTCTTTCTAGTATAGAAAGGCAAGTAGCATAAACTTGATAAAATTACACAGCTGTTTGAAAGGCACAGAAATTTACATCAGTGGAGAACTACTTCCCAATTAGAGGTTTACTTCATAGTTTTCAGGTTTCAGATGTAAAATACAAGGTTATATTAAATACGGACAACAATTACAGAAAAGAAAATCAACAAATGCCTTTCCATCATTTTGGAAAAACTGAGCTACATTTGTATAATAAATTTTTTAAAGCATCTGAGAAACATTCTAGACAGAACCTGGGGTTAATTTCCCATCTTCTAATACTCTGACTCACCCATTCAAAATTTTTGCATGTGAAAATGAAGTATCTTGCAGAAAATGTATGCACTAGAATCAAGTAAATAATTATAAAGGTATATATCATACATTTGCCCACATAACAAATTGTATTTTATCTAAGTAATCTGACTTAATGAAAGAACAAAAGAATTCATGAAAAGAGAAATTTTCTTGTTAAAAAGCAATATTCTTTCCATGAAACCTAACAGATCCCATAATCTGTTTAAAACACTTAAATTCTTTAAAAAATTCAAAAACCTAAAAATCCTTAGAAAAAAAAAAGATCTTGTTCATAAACATTTTACACCAGAGTGCACTACATACATATGCTTAAAAGAATTCAGTCTAGAAGTCCATTCAGTTATGAATATGTGAACACAGGACTATTGCGGGAAATCCTGAAGTGTTAATACTCGGCCCAAGTATCCCTCACTGTTCATTTCATGTTCATTTCACCCAGGGTAAGGACAGATGCTGGGTCGTTCACACATTTTCTCAGATCAGGTTTTCATTATAATATTTTATGGTTTTGAACCATTTTAAAATGTGCTCAAGGCATTTCCCAGCTACTTTCAGAAGCTGGTTAAGAAGCAGACAGGCCTCCCCGAAATGAAAGGTCCCAGCAAAGGATGTTTTTCAAAGAATTCTTCAGGGTCCTCCTCAGCCCTCATCCTCCACCCTCAAAGTCTTTGACTCCAGGATGAACTCCTGTCCAAAGACCATTAGCAACATGCTGAAACTGGCTAGGAGTAACTTCTGTGGGTCTCTACTGGTGTGTTCTGCATTCTGACATTCTGAGGAACCGACCTTACTGTCTGAGTTAGACCACCTCTTCTAGAAAATGGAGTCAAATCTCAAACACTCCAGTATTTATTGCTTTTAGAGGCTATACCCTAAGGCATTACCCACTATGACAGATTTCTGATCCTTGAGAACCTACATACTGAGAAGCACAGTGGCATTTTCTTGAGCTGTGATACAGTGAAGTTCCATTTCTCAGTCCCTTCTGTTGACTGGCAAGACTCAGAAGGAACATTCTCAGAAGCCGTGTTCTCCTACAGCCCAGGCAAAGGGACCATAATTCTACTGCTATTCCTGATGATGAGATCATGGCCACGAAAATATAGTTGAGGACACAAAAATCTCTATTTTTATAATATTTACCTTCTGTCTAACTGTACATACGAAGTTACAAAACTGACATCTGTTTTTCAGTGCAGGAAACAGTAATTTAACCCAAGCTTGACCATTAAAAAAAACAAACAAAGGCTATTACATATGCCCATAAGCATATGCAAATGTAAGCGTCAAGGTATTTTGTGATATTTTTAGTTTGGTTCTTGTTTATTTTAGCATGCCAAGAATCTAACAGAGATCCCCGAGATTGGCTTTGTTGGGAATCTTCTTGAGTGTTTCTAAATGCGTCTCATCTCCCCTGAAGCCTACAGATTGGAGAAACAGCCTTCACATGATAAGCTCACAGCAAAAGATCAGCATCATGTCAAGGATACATTTTGTTTTCTTCTGAAAGACTAACTCCTGGCTGCCCAGGTTTGGTGCACAGACCTGCAGCATCAGCACCCTCTTAGAGCTTCTTCAGAAGTGCAGAGCCTCAGGTCCTACCGCAGGATTCAAATGGACCCAGAAGCTGTGTGTTCCCAAGATCCCCCCGTGATTTGAATCCACTTGAGAGGGAGGGAAGCACTGCAGTGACTCACCAGGCCACAGATGCTGTAAATTCTGGAATCTGGCAGGTTTTATTTTCCAGATTGATAATCACCGGGTGCAGGAGGAGCTGGGCTTCCACTGTCACAACAGGCCTGGCTCTACAGGGAGGAGACACATGGTTTTAACAAGCCACACGAGCAACAGTCAGAAGCCCTCTCCACTTCTAGAAGCCAATGCCAACACTCCCAACCCTGGTGCAAAGAACTCCCCTCATACAGTGAACAGGTGAGCTCGAGACTCAAGTAACTACCTCAAAACACATCTGGTAACTCATGAGTACAAGGAAAGATGCTCTGGGCCCATCAAGCAAAGCAGTGTTCACAGATATGCTCTGTTCACCAAGTGGCTTGCAATATTTATGTGCCACTGCCATGAACTACTGCTCCAGGATCTGCCAGTCTGTCTATATTCCTATCTGAATCTGAGGAAATACATCATCTAACAGTCACTCACATCGCACCTGTAAGTACTTGAGTTTTGCAAATTTTCTCACCATGTTGACTGGTGGTTTTTAAATTTCAGTTGATAATTTTCTAGTCAAGCTTTACAGATTGAGCTAAACCCATGAGGTTTTAGCTCAATTCTGTGCTTCACACAGAGCAGTGTTTCTCTACCCTGATCATACAACAGATCAGGAAACAGCAGCTTGAAAACAGAAACCACGCCCAGGCCCCAACACAGAGCAACTAAAGTAGAACCGTGGGGGCCAAGACCAGGCACCGCAATGTTAAGTTAACCCTCCAGGTGACTCTTTTGTGCAGCCAAGTTTGAGGAGAGGGACTCGTATAGAGAAAATTCAGTTCCAACCAGCCAGGTGAGGATAACTAGACAGGAAAGGGAGTCATAGGAAAAGAGAATGGGGCAATTTTTAGAGCTTGGTTCCAAGACTGAAGTGCTGGGAGCCAAATCTCCAGATGACAACGTGAAATGATGCCATATTGCTGAAGTTTTCGTCTGGCAGGAGGGAGGTCTGTGCCTTGCGGCAGCATGTTTTTAAGGGCACTGATTTAAACAATTTCATGATTACCATAATGGCACCCAGTGGGAATTTTCCTAAAGTCCTTGACACTGTTTATCTGTACTCTTACATGATTTTCTTTTCAGTATTGTGTTAGCTCCAGTCCTTGGAAAAGCAGATAAGGATTAGATGGGCAAGACATTTATTAAGGCAAATACTGATGAGGGGGAAAAGGGAGGGAGAGAAGAGGCTAGGAGCCAGCAGTCCGAGTGTGATGTTGGTCTGTTCTCTGTGAAGGAACAAAGGAAGGAAGGGGGATCCGGGAAAGAAGCTCCAGCCAGGGTACTGGGGAGTCTTTTAGCCAAAGCCTTCTGTTAGTGGAGCTCCAGAGGGGCCTGGATTGTATCCCTGTTGTGTCCAGTAATCAGCTGGGAGCAGCTCATGGGAAGTAGGGCCTTGGTGCAAATGAAGACTCAGAGCACAGTGGCTGGACCATGAGTCAGTTTCACCCCATCACTTGGAGTGGTATGTCTTCATGTGGGGCCACCACCATCACAGCACCATCCCTGAGGTACTTTGAGAGTTTCAGTCCTCTGATTCTCCATACCCTGAAGTGGAGAGTGGCTGGTACAAACCAGCCCTGTGAATAAGCCTTGGGACTGATGAAGATAATCTTATCTACATGAGGAAGCCTACTTCAGAATCCCTCTGGGAGCTGACCTAGGTTAGTAATGCATGCCCAGAATAACCAGGTCAGCACTCTGCCTTTTGTCTTGATCTGGTATCTTGTGTTCCTATAAAACTTATTTTTTTTTTAAGAAGAAAAAAGAATCTAAAATTTTTGAGCACCAACTGTCTACCAGTTACTATTCTGAGTACTTTGCATGCAGATTCTCACTTAATCCTTTTAACAAAAATAACCTTACAAAGTAAATAGTGTGCCCATTTTACAGATAAAAAATCTGAGTCTCGGTGGGTGGGAAGGGACAGACTGAGAGTTTGAAATTTGTAGATACTGACAGGCATATGTAGAATAGATAAACAAGATTATACTGCATAGCACGGGGAAATATATACAAGATCCTGTAGTAGAAAAGAATGCGACAATGAATATATGTATGTTCATGTATAACTGACAAATTGTGCTCTACACTGGAAATTGACACAATATTGTAAAATGACTATAACTCAATACAAAAAGGAAAAAAATTTAAAAATTAAGAAAAAAAAATCTGAGTCTCAGGAAGTTACAGGAACATGCCCCAAATTACAAATTGGCAAGTGTGTAGAATGACAAGGTTTTTGAATCCAGATCTGTCACATCTGAGTTGTTGTTCAGTACTTGCTTTGGGAGGCTACCCCATTCTTGGTATTCTTCTCTTTCTGAACTTAGTGTCCACCACTTTGATGATAGTGGCCAGGGTACATAGCAACAGTCTCCCACCCTGCATTCCTTATCTATAGACACATTTTAATGCACTTCCAAAGCAAAGAGAAAAATTTAAATATCATAATATCTAAACAGTGTGTCACTTTATAAGTTCTGGAAAGTTTCTTATTTTATTTAACATTATGTTAGTCGAGGCTGGAAGTTTGGTCACGAGTTAAGAGAATAAATAGACGGAAGGGATGAAAGAAAGGGAGAAATACTGAGAGCAAATACTCTTTCATACTTTAAAAAGAGCATCTAAATGTTCTTCAAGATAAATAGTTAGGATATAGTCTTTAAGGCAAAACTAGAAACAAAAAGGAAATGCATTTGAAACAATTAGAACATGTCCATCAATGGGGAATAAAGAAAGCATGGTATACATATACAGTGAAATATTATTCAGCCATAAAAAGGAAATCTTGCCATTTGTGACAACACAGAAGGACCTTAAGAGCATTATGCTAAGTGAGAAAAGTCAGAGAAAGGCTAGTATTGTATGATCTCACTTATATGTGGAATTGAAAAAACTCAGAACCAATAAATGAACACATAGATAAAGAGAACAGATAGCTGATTGCCAGAAACAAGGGGTGGGGATGGGGGAAGTGGGTGAAGGCGGTCAAAAGTGCAAATTTCTAATTATAAGATAAATAATTTGGGGGGTATAATGTACAGCATGATGACTATAGTTAATAACACTGTATTGTATATTTGAAAGTTGCTAAGAGGGTAAATCTTCAAAGTTCTCATCACAAGGAAAAAACTTGTAACTAAGTATGGTGATGGATGTTAACTCAACTTATTGTGGTGATCATTTTGCAATACACACAAATATTGAATCATTAAGTCATATACCTGAAGCTAATGTAATGTTATATGTCAATAAGAGAAAAGAAATTGGCATACCACCAACCACATACCTGTAAACAGCTACTTTTCCTGTTCCAAACGCACCCACAATTAAATCTAAAAAAAGACAAAAACACAAAACACATGCATGAATTTTATAGAAATGATCTAAACTCATAGTTACAAATAGCACACAGGGCACCCTGAAATGGACTGCAGAGTAAGAGTCATAAAAAGAAGAATAGGAAATCACACCTTTCTTGAGAAATTTTGAAAAGGATATTGGAATTTCACTCTAACTCAGTATCACATACAAGTCAATAGATCTCAAACCCATCTGGACTTTGGAAGGCCAACTTTCTAGAAATGTGTACGATACTCATCATAACACCATTTATCCTAAACTTCAGACTCAAGGCACACGGCTTCAGGAACACAAATGGGAAAAGGCATGTGCTCAGTGCCTACTGTGTACCAAGCTCATTACACATACTGTTTTATCATCGCATTTACCGGCAACTACCCTAGAAGGCAAGGATTTTACCAGTGAAGTGGGACATTTTGACTGTCATCTTGACACAGCTACTGGCTCTTTACAAATAGTATAGATGGTGAGTATAATTTGGGCAAAGTGATCAGTGGCACATGAAATGACTGACATACCATTACACACCGCCCACCTTATTTGCAGCTTTGCTTTCTGTGGTTTCAGTTACCTGTGGTCAACCACAATCAAAAACATTGTGTGGAAAGTTCTAGAAATAAACAACTCATAAGTTTTAAACTGAACGCCATTCTGAGCAGCAAAATGAAAACTCCTGCTGTCCTGCTCTGTCCTGACTAGGTTGTGACTCATCCCTTGGTCCAGCATGTCCTGCCCATGGCAGTCATCTTGGTGTCACAGGGTACAGGTGACCTTTGTTTTACTTAATAATGGCCCCAAAGTGTGAGAGGAGTGATGCCAGCCATTAAGATATGCCAAAGAGGAGCCATGAAGTGCTTCCTGGAAGTGAAAAGGTGAACATTCTGCACTTACTAAGGAAAGAGAAAAATCACGTGCTGAGGTGGCTAAAATCTAGGGTAAAAACAAATCTCTGTGAAATTGTAAAGAAGGACAAAGAAAGCCATTGCTAGTTTTGCTATCACACTTCAGACTGCAAAAGTTAAAGCCACAGGGCATGATAAATGCTTAAGTTGAGATGGAAAAGGCATTACGTTCATTAAAAAGATATTTTGAGAAAGAGAAACCATATTCACATAACTTCTATTATAGTATATGGCTAGACTTGCTCTGTTTTCTTATCAGTTATTGTTGTTAATCTCTTACTGTGCCTCATTTATAAATTCAGCTATATGTATAGGAAGAAACATGGTATCTATAGGTTTTAGTACTTTCTGTGGTTTTCACATATCCACTTGGGGGCTTGGGACATATGTCCCCTGGATAAGGGTGAGGGGAAACTACTGTATAATAATATTATATAACAACAACAAAGAAAATGATAAATAGCACATGTTAAACACTTACTCTGGGCCAGGAATTCTTTTAACTGATTTACTTTGATTCCTAACAAGAAGTTAAGAAGTCTCCATTGTTAGCACAGTTTTACAGAAGAGAAATTTGAGGCTTAAGGAGGATCCCCTATAAATTCCCTGAAGTTCACACAAGTAGGTAAGAAATGAGGCTGGGTTACAGCAGTGCTGGGCACCAGAGCAATCTCTGACTACTTGAGGAGCAATATTGACAGTTATCTCAGTGACTGGCTAATATACAGGCAGAACTCTCTATTTTTCTTCATCTCATTTACGATGCTTATTCTTTCTCGGTGGGTGCAAACAAAAATCAAAATGACCATGACAAATCTGCAGAGTAAAATCTAGACGTAGAGGCAGAAGAAATAATGACTACAGGAGAAAACTTACAGTAGTTAAAACTGTAATTGGTTCATTCTAATAGAACAGAAGTGAAACTGAAAAAAAAAAAAAAAAGAGGGAGGAACTTCTTCAGCCATGCCGCATGGAAAACTAATCAAGGAATTAAGTTGGTTTAATGGAATTTGTTCAGGAAGATGATTTGTAGCCACATGCCCCTGGCATTCACCTTTCCAGAACAAAGGAACAGGGTGAGGATGCAAGCAGCTATGGTTCTCCTTTTGGGGGCTTCTCTTGGCTGGGCCAGAGCAGGCCGGAAGTGCCCCTGGTCATTGCCCTCAGTACATGATGGATGGGAAGTGGACAGATAGCCAGGGACAACAGTTAGCATAACTTCTTTCCCAGGGTGGCTCTGAGTCATGTACTTCCCTGTCTCCCAGATTTCCCCAGCTCGACAGAGCTGGACAGAGCCCTCGCTGCCCATGCTGTCGACCTCCTGATAATAACCTTGCCTTTCCACATCTCTCTCCACTCCTCCCATAGCAACTTTTTTGGATCATTTCCCAAACTGCTTGTTTTCTAATCCTTGTTTTAATGTCTGGTCTAAAAGAATTCAAACTAAGACATAATAATTCTTGTTAAAAATGTTTGTTTTTTAAAAAATGGACTTGAAAATCTTTAGGATTAATCTCAGAGTCAAAATATCTCTTGTTATGTAGAAGCAACCTAGGTGTCCAGCAACAGATGAATGGATAAAGAAGATGTGGCATACATACATATATAATGTAATATCACTTGGCCATAGAAAGGAATGAAGTATTGCCATTTGCAGCAACATGGATGGACCTAGAGCTTATCGTACAGAGTGAAGTCAGACAGAGAAAGACAAATCTTGTATGGTATCACTTGTGAAATCTTAAAAAAAAAAAAGAACTTATTTATAAAACAGAAATAGACTCACAGACTTAGAAAACAAACTTATGGTTTCCAAATGGGAAAGAGAGACAGGGAGGAATAAATTAGGAATTTGGTATTAACAGATACACACTACTATACATACAAAGTAGATAAACAACAAGGAGTTACTGTATAGCAAAGAAAACTATATTCAACACCTTGTAATAATCTATAATGGAAAAGAACTGGGAAAAAATTGTGTATAACTGAATCATTTGCTGTACACCTGAAACCCAATATTGTAAATCAACTATATTTCAATAAAAAAGTTAAAAAAAAAACCTCTTGTTTTATAGATATAGAATCAGCTTTAGATAGTAAGCTCAGGATTGGACTCCAAAGCTCCATATTTTAAAAGATGTGCGTGCTAATGCTTAATAAACCAAGTAAAGGTCATCTAAGGAGCTCTGTCTGTGAGGTCAGGGAACACAGTAAGTAAAGGGCTATAACTTGGCTATCTACGGTTCATGGAATAAATTTTTTCCCCCCAAGTTTTCAAATCTTTGAAGCCAGAAGCCAAAGTTTCTAAGTCCACCAATTTTTAAAATCATACCAAGATGTCAACTTTTTCAACTATTTCTACATTTATTTTTTCTGTCACATTTGTCTCTTCCAGCACATCAGTACACTTTTGCTATGTTGGAGGAAATGAGCTCCTGACTTGAAGAAACATGAACTCTGTTCTTCCTGTGTAATCCTGGACTCCATTATTTAGACAAGTGTAACACAGGCAGCTCTCGCCCTGACCCATATCTACTGACAGGACACCGGACAGGAAAGTTCCATTAAGAAAACCTGTTCAGGGAATCATGCACTTTGTCGTTGTCTCCAAATAAGGCAAAATGTTTATATACTGAGATTAGACATTTGATAACTAACAGAAGAGTTTTAAGAATGGACTCTCTGGAAATGGCAAAGAAACTGAGACTATAAGCTCTTCCAGGGCAGGGATCTTTCTTCAGGGAGGCCTATCACAAAGACTTTCTGGAATCATAGGGGCTGAAATAAATGAAAGAAGAAATAGGGCAGGGGCTTTGTAAACACCTGTGAAACAGTGGGGTAAATAATAATGAAATAATATCCTAAAGAAGAGAGAGGGGAAGGAAATGAAGCAGTCATTAAGACAGACGAACCTAACTTCTGTTGAACTTTGGCATGTGCACGTGAAGCAGTTGGGAGAGAAACACACACACACACACAGACTCCAGATTCATCTGCATCAATGACTAGCTTGTCATCACAGATGAGAAGTTGAGAGACACCCTCCTGACGGTCATGATGGGAAGACGTTTTCTTTGGGAACGTTGATTCCTGTGCCTTAGGGTGGGAATTTTCCTACTCTAGAAAAGGAAAATAATTGACAAAACAGGCCACAATATTTTTTTCTTTCATGAGAGTGAGGCTGTAGTTATTCAGAGGCCAAGAAAACAGTTATCTCCCAACAATGTTTGTCTTTTTGAGACACCACCTTGGTATTGTGCCTGCTGGAAAAGGCCAGAAGCATTTATGCTCGAGACCTCAAAATGATCAGATTTCTCTGAGGAAGGAGAATTGATTTGCGGATTTGTGTTTCTAACCAATTTGTCCTTCCAAAATATGTGATTTGCTCTGATACATCCCACACATATACACATATATTTCTATGTATGTAGATGTATATACAATTTATATCTATATGTATAGACACACACATATACATATAGACACACAATATTTTTTAAATCTTGTGTTATGCTGTCATGATCAGGAATTTCAACGATAATCTGAAGACAAATTTTGGTGCTAATATTTGGATTCATAACTCTGCGACCTTTTCCCCTCACTTTGAGACAAGAAGTCTTATACCTTATTTAATGTCTACTTTCCTTTCTTATAGAAACTCTGGAAAGCAGAATCTGAACAAAAGCAAAGAAAAAACTTTGCTTTTCTTTATAGAAAGACATTTAGTCTTTTTAATTTTTTTTCTTGAATTAACATTTGGTGACTAAAATTGGTTCTTTCCCCTTCATCAAAAACTGTTCTCAAATTGCTGGAGTCCTTTGCTATCATCTCATATTGCCTGAGAAAGAGTTTATTTTCCTTTTGACTTTTGATGGAACTAAGTACTTTTAAGGATACAAAAAGTGGACATTAGCATGAACACAGGATCAGTTGGCAAGAAAAAATAACCCTAAAAAATGTGAGGTCATAGGAGATGCATTACACCTCTGTTTTGTGTTTTATTTCTCCAGAATCGTTGTTTTTAAATGAAGAAGAAGGAAAGAGCCAAGCCTTTAATGTGGTACTTG